CATAAAGCGAGGAAGAGGACAGTTGAAACTTCTCTATTCCATCCTTTTCCACTCTGCCTCTTGCGGCCGCGCGGAAGGTTGATGGAATAGCATGGAATGACTACAGGCTTTCCAGCGACTACCTCCAGTAGGTTATTGATTCTGAGGTATCGACATTTATTGAAGTAACACTTGTGTGCCACTTTTGTTCTAGGACAAATTAGTATTGCCAGTAGTAATTCCACCAACGCGAAATCCAACTGAAAAAAAAAATATTAATTAATAGAATCGCGTTGTTTTTGTTTTTTTTCTTTTTTGTCCAGCTTACGTTTACATTCGGATATTATTTGTTTATTTTTAATAAGAACCACTGCGAAATTGAGCTCCGAATTTCGGACAATTCGGAATCAAACAAAAATAAACTCTGATAAACTCCGAATTTTCGGCAAAGCAGACTAATAAAAAAAACACCCTCCGAACTTGCCGAAAACTAAACTCCGAAAACACGGAATCCTACTGATTACTGACCATATGATTACTTCCTTTCGCAGTTTTCAGCTTGTCTGCGATATCGGTTCAACTTTCAACAAAAGCTCCGGGGGCGCAGGGGTCTTCAGGACGAAATCTGGGTTTTTCACCTGATGGGGATTTTTGCCGAATCCCTTGTTAAAAGAAGAGAGTTTAATTGTGAAATCAAACAACGGAAATCAAGAGCGTGCGTAAATGCCGTGCATTGTTTGGCATCCCTAGCTTCCGGCTACTAGAGGAGGGCATAAATACGAGTGTTTTGTTGTCATTTATGCCGTAGGCGCGAATTTACCACCTCTTGCAGTCGTGAAAATGGGGGAAAACGCACCGAGTACAATGCTTGCTAATTTCTCCATTTTGATATTTGCCTCTCCGACCGAAGTGGTACTGAAGCTCATGCTCATCCTGTGTACAAATACGAGCACACGACGATAATGTCAGATCACGATGAGGCCCCAGTGCGTCTTACAGAACAAGTCGCGTCGGCTGCCAGAGACGGCAACAAATAAGAAGGGGAGTACCTGGTTCTCTATATAGATTTTACACAAACACTTTGACTTATTGCATTTTTGTTAGTATACTGGTTTTCGTCAATAAACCTAATATAACTGAGAAGTTTATGAGTCTACAAATATTCACCGCAATAAACCAAAACCTTTTGTTTGGAATAAAAACCGAAAAAAGTGCGCGGAATTTTAAATAATACAAATCGAAAACGCCGAGCCCTAGCTATATTGTTAATGTCATGTTTTGACGCTGTGCTGTTTTGTCGCTGTGCTGTTTTGACGTCGTGCTGTATTGACGCCGTGCTGTTTTGGCACGTGCTCTTCTGTCGCTCTGCCGTTTTGACGCTGTGCTGTTTTGTCGCGTGCTATTTTGACGCGTGCTGTTTTGTCGCTGTGCTGTTTTGACGCTGTGCTGTTTTGACGCGTGCTGTTTTGACCGTGCTGTTTTGTCGCGTGCTGTTATGTCGTGTGCTGTTATGTCATGGTGCCGCAAAAACAGGCGCGCGAGAGACGTTTTAACCAGAATTTCCTTTTTTCGCGACACTATCGGAGGAACGAAGCACTGCGATCGCCACCGCAGTTAAGCGTTCCTCACGTCTGCAGTGAAAGACTACAGTGACACGCCCAAGCCTTTCCGTTGACCATTCGACACCGTCTGCCAACGCCGTTCAGCGGCACGACGAGCGGCTGTAGTACAGGGTGTCACAAAAGAAAATTTACACTGTCTTTTTTACCGCAAAAATAAACTAGGCATCGCCGAACGCTCATTCTCCGCCCAAAGGTAGAGCTAGAGGTCACAACCAAATGCCAAAGTTTCAGCCCGATCCGATAACTTAATCAAAAGTTATAAGTGATTTTCTGAAAAGTTCAATGGGAAAATGGAGCCCATTTTTGCCCGTTTTCGGTTTCTGGTGCCATAGAGCGCCATGTGTTTGAAAACTCCGTCGGCCGCCATTTACCATTGAAATTTTCAGAAAATCACTTATAACTTTTGATTAAGTTATCGGATCGGGCTGAAACTTTGACATCTAGTTGTGACCTCTAGCTCTACCTTTGGGCGGAGAATGAGCGTTCGGCAATGCCTAGTTTATTTTTGCGATAAAAAAGACCGTGTAAATTTTCTTTTGTGACACCCTGTAGTAAAAGCCAGCTGCTTTGAGAAGTTTGACAACGTCGGTAGTACCAATCACATTACAAGGGTCACTATGGTCGGACGAAAGTTAACGCGAGAGGAGCGAGGGAAGAAGCCCTAAACCCTGACAGCTATGTCTATGACTGGGTACGCTATTAAGTGGGGAAGTGAAGCTGCGGGACTCGAGTCTTTTGCCTTTCTTAGGAATTTTCCACGTGCAGGGAGGGACCTGCTGTCTTTGAGGAGTGTCCCCTCCGCGCTGGATGCCGCGCTCCGGCGTGTCCAACTATTATTCTAGTAAAAATTCTTATATATATATATATATATAAGAAAATTCTATGTATAATAAACCCACATGATCAAATAAGATCATATAAGAACATACAAGAACCTTATAAGAACATATAAAACATGATAAGATTTTATAAGGAGTTATAAGAAACTTCCTTACTAGTTTCTTACAACTTCTCATATTATCTTATATTGCTCTTTTATGTTTTTATAAGGTTCTTGTATGTACTTATATAATCTTATTGGATCATATGCGTTTATTGGACATAAAAATTTATAATATATATATAAGAGTTTTTACTAGGGTAGTTACTGTAGTTTGACTACTTTTCGGAGTAGTTTAGAAACTTTCAATTACATTTTCATTTTGGTAATTAGTAGCCTACTTTAATTACTTTCTCCGACTAACTTGTACCCAAATTACAAATTACTTTCGAATTTTAGTGGTAGGTTTGCTTCTCAGCAAACATTCCTGCACAAAAAGAGATCAGAGATTAGAAGATCAGCTGATATTTGCAAAGAGGGGCAAGCAACGTGACGTAAGCCGGGGACGGGGGTTGGGGGTTGGAGGGTCCGATACCGAAACTCCGTAAAACTTTCACGTGCCCCCGACTGCAACAACACTTCTACGAGGCTACGTCTAAAAAAAAAAAAACATTGGCAATATGAGATCATATTACCGCTTGCCATTTCTAGCGCTCAAGGTGTGGGGTCTCGCGGATGGTTGTCTGCGGGCCGCATGCGGCCCGCGGGTTGCGTGTTTGAGACCCCCGCTATAGGGAATGAAAGGGCATCGTGGAAGATTTTCTTAAGAAGTACTTGTACTTTAGTTTGAAAATACATTGTCATTATGTTACTTTACTTCAAGTACATTGCACCCGATGTATTTAGTACTTTACATGAAGTCCAAAACCTTACATTTAAATTGTACTTTAATTCAAGTACTCTCTAGAAGTACTTTACGCAACACTGTAAACGAGCAAACACTGTCTGCAAAATCAAGCTCAGGCAGTGCTATACTTTAAAGTTAAATTGATACATCCGCAATACAGCATAAGCAAAACAAAAAGAGCAATTAGACGAGCAGAAACAGAACCTACTATTAAAGTATTTCTGTGAAAACACAAGCCGCTTTAGCTAGCAGAATTTCGCTAATGGGTCAAAACCTATGTACTTTCTCGCTACCATAAAAATATAAAAGCAACTTCAAAAGTAATTCGCTGCCCTTTTGCGGTAGGCAGTAATTTACTCAATTACTTTCCATTTGTGGAATTTCTGCTCTACTCAAAATACTTTTGAGGTAAATACTTAGTAGCTTAAGTTAATAACTTTTTTTAGTAACTTGTACATTTCTCGGGTCGAGTACAGGTCGTGGACGCGTTCGTCTTGCTATGCTAGCCAAGAAGAACCAGGGACTCTCTGTAAATTGTACACGGTCTTCTAATAGGAACCAGCCCTGGTTTAACCATGATGAATAATGTCGTTATGTGTGAGTTTCCCGCCGACCAACAGGATAGTGTTTGCGTTTAGCAGATGCAAAGAACCTCGGTAAAAAAAACACACAAGTAATTTTTGTTTTTGTACTGATTTAGCCGGCTTGAGGTTTAACCTATTAGCCAGTTAAAAAATTAATCGCGATTAAAGCTTATATTTAACGATGGGAAGGTTAATCGATCAACGCCCAGCCCTAGCTTATATGGTACTTCTGAAAACCCCGAAGTTGAATTTATACGCTTAAAATAAAAATACCGCGACAGCGTCATATAAATGACCACCGAACACCTAACAAAGCGCAATAAAGTTTAAAACACAAAATAATGTTGTTTTTCTTTATTTTTCTTCCAAGGTGCTTTTCCCTTGCACGCCAAACAAATAAGGGAACTTTGGCTGAAATACTCCAACCACATTCTAAACGGATCATTAGCAGTATCTGAGATATACACGACTTGGACGCTACGTTATTGTTGGGGTGCTTTTTTTCTATTCCTGCCTTCCTTCAGATAAAATACATGAGTTAAACTAACAGGGTAGAAGGATCCTACCGCACAAAAATAAATTCCCAGTATAATCTCCCAAATCGCCTCAGTATATATAAAAAAAAAATCCTAGAAAACTTTAAAAAAATTTCAGAAGGCCTCGCGGCAATCCCAGATTGCAGCGCGTGACGCAGGGAATTGTGGGCTTGTTCCGATGAACGCTCGGGCTAACTCGGAAACCTAGTACATCCTGGAAGCGACACTATCTATTTTGTCTGACCCTTGCGAGTCCAGAGCTCAAGAATGTAAAGCTAACACAAAACAAATTCCAGATGTAATTTCTTTTCTTGTCGTCACGTGTTTGCGCTCTAAAATAATAAAGTGTCAAACCAACATTAACTTCGATTTTTGCTCATCGGTACTATTTCACGTGCCGAACATCGGAGGTTTCATAACGCACCAAGAAGACGGTGAAGGCGATAGAAAAGTTCTGGAGTGGTCTATTGAATATCGGCGGGATTGTCATTGTCGCTTATTTGGTAATACAAACATTCAAAGATAGATGAATGCAAGCAAATCTCCACTCACATGAGATCCCAGTCCAGATGACGAACTTCTGTCAGCAGCGCAGACAGCTTTGAACGGAAGTAGGGCTCGAAACGGATGTCGTCCTCAAACACGATGGCAGTGCGGTGCTGGTTCTCGACCATCTTTGGAGACCCAAGACCGGGAACAAAAGGAGAAAGACCGGAAACGACGGAAGTCAACCATTGTCAACCTCACAAAGAAAGGGAAGGCTAAGGCAATCCATGCGCGTATCATGCAAAAGAAGCAAACGCTCTCTTAGAGGCCGGACATCTCGAGAGTCGGGATAAATAAAGAACGGGATGTGCAAGAGCCACCACGACGAGAAATGTTTTTTCAGATCCCATTGTTCCTAAAGATAGACCCTGCCATTCAACAGGCAGCCAGCTATTAAAGATAAATCGGGGCACCCCACACTGGCAAGCAATTGGCCCTTTCCCGCAAATGTTCGGCGCGACCTATCGGGAAGCAGGATAAACGTATTTGGTGGCCTACCTCGTTTCCGGTTTTGTCCGCTCGAAGCAATGTTTGGCTGTCGGAAAGCGGTCGGAAAAAGCATTCTGCCGTGACATTTGCTACGCTATGGATTAAAAAAATTACTACTGCGCGCTAGTGATCTGTAAATTTCGGCTGTCGGCCAACGAAACCGAAGCTCAAGGCTGGCAGGTAGCACATACGCTAAAGACAAAACAAAAAAGAAAGCGAAAATCGCACAAAAATGATAACCTAAAAAAATAATTCCATCGAATTTTCAAGGAAAGAAATCATTTGGGCGCGACAGAAATCCCAAATACGCTTTTAACGAGACCAAGCTGGCGATTTGCGCCCGAAAAAAAAAAAAGCTGTCTCTCCGAAAATAGCCTGAAACGATTTTTGCCATCTTCAATTTTCGTCCGACCTTGGTTTGGTTTCTGGCAGGTATATATTTCAGCCAGACGGAAAAGTGTAAGTGAAAAGTGAAAGTCCACTGTCGAAGAAATATCATAGGATGAAGTGCGTATCAAAGTATATACCCTTGTTTCGAACACGTAACCCAAGGATATCGCGTCGCTGTCAGGTTGTTTCGTGACGACTGTTCCTTGCTCCAACTTAGCAAGGGCCGGAAACTGCGGACCCAGCGAGCCAACCAGAGAACAGAAGCTAAGCAGATGGAGAAGGAGCGTTGAAATGCACCCCTTCCGTGTAAAGCTATCACGTGCTTCATTCCGCTCCTCCGATAGGTCAGCTTTCTGTGGCAATCCGAAGAGAGGAGCAGAGCGTGTGTACAGCGGTTGGTGCACCCTGCCCCATAGCATTGACTGCATTGCCACAGAAAGCTGACCGCGAGTATAGATACTTCAGTTCATACTTCAGTTAAAGGAGGGGGGGGGGGGGGGCTTTAATTACGTTCGTAAAATCTATCTATAATTGGCGAATTTATGAGTTTTAAATGACGCTCAGCGAGTTTCTAATTCCAACCACGTTTAGTTTCACCAATTAATAATTTACTCAACAAATTCGAGTTAATTATTTGACTTGTTCGTGACGATTACTCCCCCCGTAATATGTCTCCTGGCACACCTGCACAAAGGGCGTAAGTGCATCTTTCACGGCTTTAAAAAAAAAAAAAATTTGTTTGAATAAAAATTAAACACCCTCTATAAGAAATCCTAGGGGCAGGCTATTACGGCGACATGCGCAGTTTGAGCGTCTTTGTACGGGAGAGCCTAGTGGCGGTGGAAAAACGATCTACTTACACTCTTTAATGTCTACATTGACCCAGGATGCTATCCAAAAATAATTAATGATTGCCCTACTTCAAGTCCATTTTTTTCCAAGTACTATCAGTGTAGAAAAAACATCCGGTAATAAAACGAGCACGTTCTCAACTAGGAGCGTACCGCAAGGTTTGGCCGTCTCAGAAAGAAAGAAAAAAAAGAAAAAAAAGTAAAAAGAAAGGACGAAAGAAACGGCATTACAATATCGAGACTAAAGCGTGAGTGCAGAGATAGTGCACAAGGCATTTCAAACACGGCTTCGCCGTTAAGTGCTCGATAAACAGACCTGATGATATAACATATATGTTCGTATTGCTCATAACGGCGTAAAAAGGTCATATCGCTCTTCTTAAATATTTCTCCTTGGCAACCATTCCGAAGTAATATAAGAGAAACGGTGTTCTGGGCGTGCTAACGAGCGTGGAAGAAACACTTTTTGTAAGAAACGTCAGTGCGAATTCCTTTTTTCTTTTTAACCGGCTGTTTCAGCGAAGTCTTTCAAACATCCCTAAAAAACAAGGTGATGGAGAAAATATTAAACTGTTTCCGGGAACAAACGGCCAGCAACGGCAGATGCCCGCCGTAGTAGGAAAAAAACATGAATGAACTAAAATGTATTAGTCAACTTCTTGATTAGTGAAGACAAACATATTTCATTTCATTTCATGGTTCAAATGAGAAACAAAGCATCGTTAAAAACCACCAAGAACTCATTATAGAAAGATATAAACAGGAACAGTATTTTACGGTTTTACGGTGTTAAAAATAAATACACACACACACACAAAAAAAAAAAAAGAGAAAACCCGCTAAATTTGGATTTTTGTTCAGGTTTCGGCTTCCGATCGGGGCTTGAGGATGCGTTCCGATATGCTCCCCTAAGCCGAATCACACTACTTATTCATCATACAAAAGACAGTCTGCATTAATTTTCTAAAGCGAGTCACCGCGAGATCCGCGCTTCAAATGCCGTATGGCAATGAGTTTAACAAGAAGACTTGGCAGGCGGCATTCGAACCAGCTGATAGTGCGGTGGCTCGTGTTTGCAGAATGTATTTTGTATGATGTATGAGCAGTGCGACCCCGGCTCTACGGGGGGGGGGAGGCCAGGACTGCTAACCAAAGGTGCTCCCCCGCGTAAATTTACGGCCGTCTACGCCGTAATACACAGTGCCTGCTTTCTACCTTTCTAAAATGAATTCGATTTTGTGGTTTTCGATGATGCTCATAAGTTAGAACGTTTCTAATTAGAAACATTCTAACTTCCAACTAATTAAACTAACTAAAAAAAAAAGAAAACGATAATAAGTATAAGTAAATTTCACGTAATATTTAACATATTATTTATCTAATTAGCGTGTTGTTGTTTTTTAGCAACCCCTGAGGTCCACTGTGGCTGAAAGTTTGTTCCCGGGAAAGGTTAATTTTTTTTCTCAACCACCTCATTTTTTTGCGATTTTTAAGTCTTAAAAAAAATATAAATAAAACATGTATAGCTAATTGTTGAGCATTTGTGTTGCATACGTAAAACGCTCTAGCATCACGTGACCCGGAAGAGAAAGTCACATAGCGGACGTGTATTCCATTCGCTCCTATTTTCTCTGCTTACTGCTACTACGTTGCCCATCACCAGTGAGTATTTTTTTTTTCTCTCACTTCATCATAAGCAGTTCTTGCTGGCTTGCAAGGTTCTGGCTTGCCCGTTGCGCGGCACTCCAGCCGGCAAGGCATGGAAATTTCAACGTCCTTAGTCGCCGCCATGGCGGAACCGCTCCCGCCTGACGACGAAGAACTTGCCAGCGTTTCGGGCTCAATTGCCGACGACAATCAAGGTGCGTTCCAGGATGTCGTCCGCGGAACAAAGAGACGCTGCCTAAGTCAAGGCTCTGGTTCTAGCGAGCAGACCATCATCACCCAAACCGAGCCCACTGTCGGTCTCGTAGTTCTTTTCACTCCTGTGGACAAAGATGTAAGAATTGACACCATCACTTCGGTTCGCCTCACGTCCACTCTGGAGACGCTCGTGCCTTCGTGTGTTATTGAGGTGCGCTTTAACAGGCGGAAGAATCTCCTAGCGATTGACACGCGGAATGGACAGACGACACGTACTCTCCTTGGCCAGACCACGCTTTGCAGTATGAAAGTGCGTGCTTTCGAGCCTCGTGGAAAGGCCTGCAGCGTTGGAATTGTCCGCGACATTGACAGCACCCTTTCTGACTCCGCAATACTCGGAGTTTTGCGCTCAACAGTAGGCATCCGCAACGTCCGTCGCATCGGCAAGTCCACTACTATTCGAGTTGAGTTTGCTTCTCCTACACTTCCTGAGCACGTCTACGTCGCCCTGGTTCGACATAGCGTCGACTTGTATGTCAACAACCCCATCCAATGCCACCGATACGGTTTGTTTGGCCATGTTGCGGCTGTGTGTAAGCGGTCGCTAACTTGCCTCCGATGCGCAGAGCCTCACGCAACTACGGAATGCAAAGGCTCGAGCACTCTTTGCGTCAACTGCAAGAAACCACATGAAACAACATCACAACAGTGCCCATTCTGGCAAGCTGAGCGCTCCGTGTGTCGCTATCGCTGCGAGAACAATGTTTCCTTCGCAGAAGCACGAGCCCAAGTGGACAAACGTACGGCCGAGCGGGCGGCTCCACGAGCCGAAGCTGCAACAGAGATGGTTGTTCTAACTGAAAAACTTCAACGGAGGCGACGTCATTCTCGACGACGCCAGGCGGAACAACATATTGCAGACAAACAAGACCCGCCATCATCGCTTGTCGCCGAAGCCCCGAAGCCAATGGAAACAGAGCCTGCGCCTAAGGAAGTACCTGTCCTTGTCTCCTCCGGCGAGAACAACGTGCGACAAAGCTACAAAGCAGCGCTGCAAAACGAGCCCCCACCGTCGTCACCACCAGTTCAGGCCGGACCTGTACTCCCGACCACTCAAGCTCCTCCAAGTGTTGGACAGGAGGCGATACCGTCCCTCCCAAAACTAAGCACCCTCACTTCCTCGTTAGGTAGCTTCGTATGCCAAATGCTCGTCATAGCGCGACAGTTTCTCCCGCTTCTACAGTATCCATGGGCAAACCAGCTCCTGAATTTTATCACACTTATAGAGCCCTTGGTCAAAAGTTTTCTGCAATGAAAGTTTTTACTCTGCTCATTTTTATTTTTATGGCTTCCTGCCCATCTATCTTACAATGGAACGCCCGCAGCATCACTTCTAAATTAGCAGAGTTGCAGTATTACCTTTCATCTCAGCCGGTACCCATACTTGCAATTTCGGAATGCCGCCTCAGACATGGCTCTCGGATTCAGCCCTATGTCCATTACCCAAGCGCGGCGGCCACGCCTAACAGCTCATT